CCACACACAGCTCCAGAGGATTGGCAGTCCCTAAGTCCAGAGGACCTCACACTGGCTGGCTGCGAGGGACACAAGGTCATCCCCAAGCAGGGGCTGGACTGTGGCTGTGTTTCTAAACCTGGGCTCCATGGGAAACCCAGTACAGGGACAGAGCTGCTGAGGGCTGCTTGGGAGCACTTGCCCTGGGCAGCTCCAACCACAGTTCCATCTCTGGACACTCAGGATGCTCAGTGCTGCTGCATGAGCAACTGCCTGAGAGCCCCAGAGTGTCACTGCCATTACAGCTCAGGGCGGCAGGGATCAAGAAATTGAGGGGGAGCTCAGGGACTTCTGATTCTCACGGCTGGGACCTTGGCAGGATGTCCTAGAGCGGGGTCCAGAGGAAGGGTGGCCTCAGCACTGTGGTGGCAGCCCGGGGTGGCTGGACTGGGGCTCCGCCGGAAGCCTGTTTTGTGTCTCCTGATGGGAAGTAGGGGTGGTCTGTGCCACGAGGTGGTGCCCTGAAGATGGCCCAGGCCACTTCCCCTCCGGTGTGGTGGGTCGGTCACAGAACCTACCCAGGTCCTAGAGCAGGGGACACAGATGCCGCCTCCCAATGGGAGGAACATCAGGCTTGGCTTCTGTGCTAGTCAGCTGTTTCTGTGTGTGACAAAACACTAGAGATAATCAATTTACAGGAGGAGAGGTTTGACTTTGACAGTAGGGGAGGTTTCAACCCACCGCCCACTGGTCTGGTGTGAACTCAATGCAAAAAAAGCCAACCACTTGAGTAGCCAGAAAGAAAAAAAGATTTTAGAATGGGAGGGTCCCAAGCCCTGCTTCATGGCCATGCCCCCGCAATGACTTCAGTTCCTCCCATGAGGCCCCACCTCCTAGAGGCTCCACCCTCCGGATAGCGTGATCTCCAGGGACCAGACTTCAATGCATGGACCTCTGGAGGACACCCCAGAGTCATACTATGACAGCTGCCACTTCCAATCCGCCACATAATTATTATAAAAGAAACGGAAGCTCACAGAAGCCAAATAATGTATGTATTATAAGAAACGCAGCTGAGGATTTAAAGTGTGACTGAGCCTTTTCTCTCCTGGTGCACAGCCCTGCTCTCCCAAAATACGGACATTTGGCCTCATGAGATAAGACTTGTTGAAGGGCAAACCACTTCCTGTTGGGATTTAAACACGACAGAGCAAATTATCTTGTTACCTTTTTTGTTTTTTAAATAAATTATACTACCAACCGCGGAGCCCCATCCCTATATATGGGACTGTAGAGTCTAAAATTTCTCCTTGGTTTAAGGGGTTGTTCACGGTAAAAGAGAGGAAAAACAAGTGAATACAATCGCAAATTTAAATGCAAAGTACCTGGCTCAGCTAGGTTTCTCTTCCCAGAGGAGAGAAATGTATTTACATTATGAAATAAGCTGGGGCCCAATGGGAACTCGTTATTATTAGATTTCCTCTAGAGAAGGATTTATAAATGAAAGCACAGCTTGCTATTTTAGTATTTTGTTTTTCAAGGAAGAAAAACCCTTTACAAAAACGATTTAAAGGGAAAACATCTATTTCAAGCATTTGTTTATTTTCTTATTTGCCGGGCTAAGCCTGTCGCCTTTCATGTCTGATTTTGTTGCAGGACTGAAGATTTTCTTTTTCCTTCTGCAAATCTGGAAGGTCTCCCTTCATTTGTGAGCAGTACTACACTGGTATCCATGAGACAATTCTGGGGCCAGCGCCTCGTCTCGTCACAGCTGTGGGCCGCGAGCTCCACCCAGGGGCAGACACGGAGGGACAGGGCGAGGGGGGTCATCTGCAGTGGACACCGTCCGTCACCGTCACAGCCTCACTGGCGCCCTGAAGCCCACGGCCGAGCTCCCGAGCTCCCGGTGCCCTTCGCCTCTGTCTCCCAGACATGTGGCTCTGTCTCCAAGGAGCTGGAGAAACGGCCCCGCCGCTGCTTCCGCTACCCTAGGACATTTTGTGGCTTTGACAACTTCTTGTGTGAATGAGGTTTATATTATGTCATAGATCACGAGCGCTTTTGAGCTTCTTTATAAACATTTATTAGTTTCTAATTACACGCGTGGAGAGAAGCTGCAAAAGATGTCTTCTGCAAAGTTTTCAAACCGAATTTCAGTTGCGCACTCCCGAAGTCAGTCCTGAGCGGGACGCCCTGCAGCGAGGCCGCCGAGTCGCCCCGG